TCCAGAGGCACTAAGTCATCATCACATCATTCCTGCCCATTTGCTGCTGAAGCAAAAACTGAGAGTTCATCTACACAGCAGACGCTGCAGCGGGGCATAAATTAACAGTATACACTGATTGATACCCGTGGTACATACATACAACTCTACAAACCAGAAATCCAGCCTTATTATCACTTCATTCCCAAAAGGAGTCAGTATTTGAGCCTGAAATTAATCGGGAAAAATGTGAATGGTTGGAAATCTTTCAGCAGTCGTGTAATGGAAAGTTCCTCTCAAAGGAAATGCCCATAGGGAAATGAATGCAATTAAAGACCAAGGTAATAAACTGCCAAGAAATCTTAACTTAGCTAGAGAAGCCTTATTTAAACCCTGAGTTCCCCCAGTGAGGTGAACAGGGAGTGTCATCTGTCCCTGAGCTACTGCAGAAAAGCACAAATATGAATATTCTACATAAACATCTCTGTATTTTCTGTTGCCTCTCTGCAAACACCCTCCTGGCTTACTAAAAATAAATTAATAACATTTATGGAGGTCTCCTGTGCAGTTCTGGTCAGCACCCCGTCTGTCATTCAAAGAAATCCAAATTATTTGAGGCAAAGTGACAAATGTGTTCTCCCTTTCCCAGTGCTAAACAGGGCTCTGAATTGCTCCCTTTCCTACTGTAGCAATAATTAAAATTAAGAAACTAGATCAGATACCACTGGACAGCCACAGGTCCCAGAATGCCCTACAACATTTTGCTAATGAGCACCAGCCTGCAGCTCTTTATGAAAGCAGGTCATCCCTTGAAAGGGGGGCAGAGCATCTGTTGTAATAAGAGACTTTTTTATGGCTCACAGACCGAAAATATAAATATCAGCTTTATCAGACACTCTGTGGAGTTTGAGCTGGCAAAAGCCTTTTCCCTCATGCCTGAGAGTGCCATAATAAACAGAGCAGGGCAGTGGTGAGTGGTGCCTGGGTCTGTCCAGCAGTTCAGGCAGCTGAAGGAGCAGAGAGAGCCCCAAGAACTAAAATGGTCCTGAGGAGACAAAACGTGTGCTGAGCAATCCCACCGGCTCTGTTTATTTGCTGGAATTGTCTTCCACTGGGTCACCACGACTTTGGATTTTCACAGCTGCAGGGATCATCCTGCCTGGAGTGGATGATTTCACAGAAAAGAGAGAGCCCAGAATTAAAAAAAAAAAAAAAAAAAAAAGGGTGTTTGGCTGTTCGGAGGGAACAGACAAGAAGGAGCAGCTTTCCACTCCCCGAGAGTAATGAGAGAAATTCAAACACACTTGGAGGATGCAGCTGGATACAATTGTTTAAGAACCACTGAGAAGGAATTCCAGCCTCCATTTCCCCCCCTGCCCTTTCCCCATTATCCACATCTCCTCTTATTTTACAACTGTACCACTCCTCTAATGTCTGATGACTGTGCTGTATTGTCTGGCCTTGCATTGTCTGCAGCTTTGACGAGCTTTAAAATTGCCTAACTGCACAGTCCTAGCTGAGATCCTGGGTAGCAAGCAGCACTTGGGGACACAAAAGGTACTTTCCATTCGTCTTTATGACTTTGTAGGGGGGAAAAAAATAATTTAAAAGTTTTCCCGAACAGTCCAGAATACCAGGTCTCCAAAGAGAACGGGATAAAGCTTGTTTATCACATTAAGATAAATAAATAAATAAATAAAAATCAGTGTGTGCTTTTATATGCAGGGAGATACTTTGCTTCTGGGGGTGAAGAGTAGCAGCATAAACACGCAGGATGGCAAGGGCTGGGGCTGGAACAGAGAGGGAAGCACAGCTCTGATCCTGCAGGAGAACCTGCACAAGGAGACAAGGAGGGAGCTGTGTTTGACAGGAACAAGAGAAGGAGTTCTTTGAAAAGCAAAAGAAGAAGCCAAGCAGTCGCGTGTGTGTGCCTGGAAGCAGTGGGATAAGTGCCAGGTAGAGACTAAAGACAATAGTAGGAACTGAGAGGAGGAGCTGCAAACAAGGGCACGGGAGACAGAAGCTTTTTGGGAAGACAATGCTCTGGAATCTGAGTGACTGGATGAGGGACTGGGATGTGACAGCCAGGACCACGCAGAGGGGGGACACACAAAAATAGACGGGCTGGGGGAACAGAAATAGAATTGATGGCTTGGATGAAAGAGGAGCTCGGGCCAAAGTGCACAGTCAAGGAATTCAGAGAAGATTTTGCCAACCCAACAGATAATAAATCTGAGACTGACTGAAAGAAAATCTTTCTACATATTTAAAAGTCACAAGAAGTTTACTGTCAAGTTAACCATGGAATTATATTGTGAAGCAGGAGTTCCTAAGTATTCTGCTCAGTAAAGGCTCTCAACCATCTGAATTCCTTGTGGGTCACCATCTGAATTGGAAACATACTTGATTCGAAAATTAAATTATTTCCTAGACTATTTGCCATTACCTCATGGACGAGTAGTCTGAGAATTAAGCCATTTTTAGAGACTCCAGAGGGCACAAGACTGAAGGAAGAGGTGGCAGTAAGTGTGGGATAAGGAGAGTTGGCCGTGTCCTGCCAGGGCAAAGGAGTAAGATCTGGGACTAGGAACATGGGGAAGAGGAGATGAAAGCAGGACTGTGGGATATTTTGATTTGAGACACTGAGGTGGCTGGCCAAAAATGCAGACAAAAGACAAGGAACAAGGGATGGGGGAAATTGGGTCTAAATCAGACAGGTAGGAACAGCTCAAAATAAGGGGAGGGTCTCTCCAGAGACTACAGTGATCTGAATCTCCACAGTGATGCCAACAAACAAGAAACTGGATTACAAACTTCCATATTCAGTAATGAAACATTCTCAGTTTGATTATTCTCTTGGTCACATTCCTCCAGTATTTTTGTATTTTACTAAATATAACTGTAGCCAAGCAGGTTTCAGGAAAGTTCTCTCAGCAAACCCAAGCAAATTCCAAATTTTCCCCCTAAAATCTCAAAGCATTTGCATGCCTGTGGCAGTGTTACAGTGAGAACAGTGTGCTCACACTATTATATATGCTGGGAATAACAGCCCTGAGAGGGCACTGGCTGGCAGACTTGGTACATCTCTGGTGTGAGCTGAGGGTGTGGCATCTGTGTTCTCCTTCCCATATCTGTGTTTTTACTGAAATTACCCTCAAAGTCCCTGCAGAAAATGAGGAAAAGACCACCACAGACGAATAACATGTCATATACTCCAGAAAATATTCATGATGAAACACGAAATCTGCCCTGCAGTGGTTATGAAATAATGAGTATGCACAAAATTAATTGCTGTTAGATGTATAAATTATTCCAGATCAAAGGGGTGTGAAAGGCCACAGAGCTGCTGATTTTTACTGAATTCCTGACTGGCGTGCAGGACACAGAACACTGATGAGCACAACATTAACAGCAGCATTGCTGCATCTGTAATTGTCTACTGGTACCAGCCAGGGAAAGTCTGCAGGGAGCAAGAATAGCTTTTTTTTTTTTTTTTAAGAATAATAGGCATATTTTAGGGGGAAAAAAAAAAGTCTATACAAAACCATAGATAGCTGGGGTTTTACATATATGTGTCTATTGTGGGTGTAAATTTGTGATTTTCAGATAAGACCTCAGGAACTGGGGATATGCAAGTCTGAACTTTTCCTTTCTTGCTGCCTTTTGAAGGTATTCGTGAAAATGAGTCAGATATAGAAGAACCAACATGAATTCCGGATAGGCAAACAAAAATCAGTTCACTAAAGGATAAACATATGTACAAAGATGAATTATTCTTCACACAGTTTTCAGAAGCGCAAATGGTTGGAGCCACAACCCTGGAACTCATGGTATTCTATCAGGATCAAACTGAAGACCTCTGCCACCTGAAGCCATAAATTCGTGGAAGCACTGATTTCCTAGATACAATGGAAACCCTACCAGAGCATCCTGGCTAGACAACACAAGGATGTTTTTTTCTGCTTGGATTTAAAATTTCCCTTGTTTTTGTTCATAAATCAAACTGGAAAGCCAGACAAAGAGCGCAACTGCTGATATGAGGGGCCTGTGCCACTTCTGGCACCACAAAAAGACTGTGTGTGCATTAAATTAATCAGGTTACTCTAAAACACAAAAGAAATCCCAGCCAATTTGGGGAGACAAATCTCACTGAGGGAGAAACATGGCTGCATGCAAGAAAATATATTATCCAAATCCATAACAAGACCAAGAATTCAGGTTGATGCTCAGCAGTGCAGCTGCAGAGCTATGCTGGCTGTTCAGTATGAGTGCCAGAGGAGTTCTAGTTCCAAATAAATCAACATAATATAGGCTTTGCCTGCAAAAGAGAAAGTGGCAGTGGTTTCACTAGGATTGTTGCTCTAAACCAATTTCATTAGACATGAAGCAAATCCACATGTGGAGACAGTTAAATTGATTTACAACTGGCTTATGTTGATCTAGCTTAATTCAAAGGGTGGAATTTTATATGGCAGCTATACATTGATTTAAGTGCATCTACACAAGACTGCAATTCCATTCAATTTAAACAGACCTAAAATAAGACTTCAATTAAGCCAATTTTTGCAACACTTCAAATAGCAGGTTAGGCTGGACTAAGCAAACACACACTGAAGTAGATGACAGCAACTTTCCAAAGAGTAGGAGATTCAAATCAATCCAAGTTAATTTTATGGGACAGACCTCAGGCTGCTTATTTGTACAAAACTACCAAGAATCAACTGAGATGCTGACTTGAAAATTTTCCTTTTTGACCTATGATCATTGCATTCTAAAACTGACCCTACTTTTAAAGGGATTTAACCAGTTTCATCTTCCATCAAACCTCTTTTTTTGTCCTTATTTACTTAACTTTTACATGTATGTTCAACATTCTCCCACTGCCACAAGTTATAGAAAACATATATTAAGTATTCCAGCAGCCTTGAAGGACACTTAAAACTCACAAGTTTTTTATCATCAGGATGTTTTCCTGCAGGGCACAGAAATAATAAAGGAGAGTTTGCTAAGATACTAAATACCTTTTCTTGTCAGTATGTTCAAGTCATGCTCCAGAGCCAGTTTTTCCATGGCATTCCCAGTGGAGGAAGGGGAGAGATCACCAGTTCCCATCTGCTCCCAGTTCTGAGGTCAGGTGGCCAATCCTGATTTTATTTCATACCTGAACAGAAGGGGAAGAAGATACCAAAGGGAAATGGTGAGTTCTAAAATATCCTTTTTGATAAGCTGAGTTTTAAGATATTTTTACTTAAAGTGGTTTTTGTGGGGTTTTTTTGTTGTTTTTGTTTGTTTGTTTGTTTGTTTGCAGTGCCTTTGACAGATGCAAAAAGAAACAAATGAGCAACACTCGGGATAAATAATTGGCAAAAATTAGATTCATTTTTTCGGTGGAAGCAGAACTGTGGTGACAGGGATTAACCTGTTTATTAGCTTTAATAATAGAACATTTTTTTGGCACGTCCCCACCACAACTCATGGAGAAAACACCACCAATCTGCAGTCATTTTATGGGTGAAAATACTCTTCATTTTGATGATGTTCTTCACAGGCCCATTTGTGACATTAGACATGAGGGGTGGGGGACTTTACCTGGAAATCAGGAATGTTAATGTTCTTGGGTTTCTTTTGCTGGGAATTTTTGTGTGTCATATCATCTAGTTTTTCTTCCTTTCTTTTTCTTTTCGTTATTGTTGTTGAATAACAACAATTAATAGTGCATCAGAAGGCAAAGTATTTTTATAGCCTCAGAGATAAGTCATCTCTCATAGTCACCATTAAATGATACATGGAAAGGGACTGACCTTTGAGGCAAAACAATTTCCACTTACAAAAGTGGAATTTTAACAAGATGTTCTTGTGAGGCCCCTTCCAGCACGTTTCTGGAAAAGGCTCCTCGTGGCATTCCCAGTCCCCCAAGCTAAACCACTTCTGCACTAAAGAAGCTGAGGCAGAACAACTTTTAGCTGCCAGCCAAAGCACACTGCTATTGCTGCCCCTTCATGGATCTTGGATGACCCCAGGGCTGTTCCAGACTCCACATCCACACAGAAAAAGAACAATATATTTACTGTCTGCTCAGAGGAAAAGAAATCTCTAATGACTATGTGAGCAGTAAAAAGATGCACAAAGTCTGTCGAATACAGATAAGAAATTAAAGGCTCGCTGTGAAGTGTCATACTGAACTTTAAAAAACACTCAGAGAAAAAAGAGAGGAAGGACAGCAGAACTAACAGAGTATGCTCGATTTCTGTCAGTCCTCTGTGGTGTCCAGTGCTGTAAGCATATTTAAAAAAATAAAATCAAATGTACATCCTAATTCCACTGAACTCAATGATAAAACTCTCATTAACTCAAACAAAACCAGAATTACTTCTACAGCAGCCTTTTGTGCTTGTCACAGTATACTAGTCAGTATTATACTCTGATAAAATCATCATTAAAATGTGACTGACTCTGGAAGTTTTTCACTGTTACCCTTTTTACTTTCATTCTGGTTTCCAGAGATGTGGTTCCCCTTCCTATACAGATTAAAGCAGTACAAATTTGCTTGAAAATCAAAAGGCACAAAAAAATTCTACCTTAATATTATAGAATGTGCTTCAGAGAATAGTTTCAAGATGCAGCTGAATATAAAAAAATCAAATCAAATTAAAAAAAAATGGGCAAGTTTAGAGTGGCCATTTCTACTCGTGGCCTACAAACTGCTATAGCAATATAAACTATTCTTAATAACCTAGAAAAGACAATGTAAGTCAACAGAAGTTCACCCTGCACTGACCATGGAACCTTTTGAGAATCCAAAAATTCGAAGAAGTTGAAAAGTCAAATATGTCGAAACAATGGCATTGCTAAACTTGCTAACTTGTGGGCTTATAAAATGAGTATTATCAATATTTATGCAGAATAATTTCAGAAACGAGTAGCAAACCATTTTAACAAGAGGTTAGGATTTGGATGCAAACCTATTCATTCAGGCTGAAATCCATGTGTGATTGGTAGAATGGGAACTACATGAGGATGGATTCTTTGGGGTTACTAAGATCTTAGGCTGGTACCCTAAGGAAAAGAAACTTCTTTACTCATAATTTTAGTGTGCTTGCTTATTTTTTCTTTCCACCAGCAGCTTCTGAGCAGCCCAAGTTCAGCCAAACTTGACCAATGCTTAAGTTCCTACAAGTTTTGTAAAAACAGTCAGGTGAAAAAGAGAGAGGCAGCATGAGCCCTTTGGCAAGGGGGAGAAGCTGCAGTTTTACTTTGAGTTTTACTTTGCTTGACACCAAAGAATTCGTACAGAAAGCAAACCCACTAAGTGCCATTGTCTTCAGTCAGCCCTCAGAATCACTGCAGGACGCTAAGCCATAAAAATGCAGCTTTTATTACCTCTGGCAGTCCTGGAATGATTTGTTCTGAGAATAGATATAACAATAGATGTATCACTGATTAGGAGTTTTGCTGCTGTCTCAAGGGTATTCAGGACTTTAACCTCCCAGACAGAGGGTAAAATCAACAGTGCACACATTCCATTAGGAGCAGATGATGTAGCCCAGAGTTCCTGAGCTGCAATCAGGCTGGGGTGACAGAGCACACAGTCCTGAGTCTGTAATGACTTCAGGACTTGTTGAATTACCCAAAGGTTGCACGTTCCCTGATAGCCTCAGTTTTGATTAGGATTCCAGGCTGAAAAATCTGTGGTAATTTATTGGAAAACCTCAGGCTCCCTTCCTGCTGCAGTGACTGGATAGGTGCCTGCTTCAGCCTCATGTGATGTCAATTCTTATGTTCACTTATTACAACAACACTTCAAAATCATTAAAGCAAATCAGCTCATCTCAAGGAGGAACGACCAATTGAAACAACTGGAATGACTGGATGTTAACTGAAAAAACTAATTTTACTGTACAGATAAATTTTATACTCAAAATAATTTTTGAGCAACTGGAAGTAAATTACAAGACTGTTTTTTTCATTAGGTGAGCTTAATTAGACACCAGGAGCTGAGGAAGTGAGTTGAGTTTTCTGAGCACTTCCCTGCTGCACTGCACAGCATCTGCTGGACCAGAAGCATCATGTGGCAGCAGAAGCGGCTGAGCTGATGCCAGGGCCCAGCAGTGTTGCTTAGCAACTTCCCGGGGATGACTCTGGCAATTAACTCTCTTGTGTGTCGGGTGTGAGCTGCTGCTTCGCTCAGAACAGGAAAAGACAGAGCAAACAGCCCTCCAGAAGAGCCCAGTAAAGCTGCATGTGCCCATCTGCCACGGGACTGCAGCCAAAGAGCTGGGAAAGAAGCCCTTGTGCAAGAGCTGTTCCTTAACAAGCTCATTTTTTGGACACCCTCGTTCTTGCCATGCAAGTACAGTATACTTTTGAAAGGGATTAATCAATACCAAAATGCGCCCACCTGTTACAGAACAAGGGCGTCTGCACAGGGCATTGCTTCAAAAAATGGCCTTTTCAGTTTGCAATCACTGCTGAGTCTGAAATGACTTTCAAGTGTGAAAAGCCCCCGTTTAACCTGAGCTATTGACCCATCCACAAAACCATTTTGTTTTGCCAGCTACGTAATTTTTTTTGCTCTTTGTTTGACAGTACATTCAGTAGCGCCTTAGTCTGAGTCAAAGTGTCCCAAGATACCGAGAAGGAATGAACACTGAGTCAGTTTTCTCATCTTCAAGGTGGTACCAAGTTGCTCCAGAGCTGGGCCATAATTACAGTCCCTCTCTCTGGCATCCCCTCTCCTGCTTCTGAGGGAAAAGCACCCGTGTCTCAGTCTGTGCCCAGATTATTCTTTAAGGTCTCAGCTCTGCAGAGAGCTCAGAGTAGCTTTATCCTTCCTCAGGTGGTGGCAAAAGGCAGGTCAAGGGTGAGCTCTGCTCTGGAAGTGCTGAACGGTGACATTCCCTGTCTGGTGGGTGAGAGGAAGAGGAGGGGCAGGACTGAGCTCTGCTCTGGGGGAATCAGGGACAGCCCCCAGGGAATGGCTGGAGCTCTGTCAGGGCAGGGTCAGGTTGGATCTCAGGGAAAGGTTCTTCCCCCAGAGGGTGGTTGGCACTGAACAGGCTCCCCAGGGCAGTGGGCACAGCACCAAGGCTGCCAGAGCTCCAGGAGGGTTTGGATGATCCTCTGGGGCACAGGGTGTGACCCTTGGGAATGATCCTGTGCAGGGCTGAGGGTTGGACTGGATGATCCCTGTGGGTCCCTCCCAACTGGGCATATTCCGTGATTCTGTGATCACTCTCACCAAGGGCTCATAGCTCTCGACCCACACATTTATTTTGTCTGGGACACAGGAGGTGGAAGCAATGCTGGAAGTGTCTGAATCTATCTTACTAATTTCCCTCAAGCTTTCATGTAAACATACTGGACTGAATTATTTAGGAATTGCTTGCTACCTTTTCCCCTATCATGACAAAACAATGCCCCCAAAACAAGGCCCTTAAGAAAGGCCCCCAAACAGTGGTAGATCTTTTATAGGGGGGGAAAAAAAGCATTTCCTGGGTGCTTGAAATATGGTTCTTTAAGACTGCTGAAAGCCAACACTTTGCATGAAATTGCAGGGAAGGAAAACTTGAAAGTAAATTTACTCTTTTTTGTAGTTAAAAAAAAAAAAATCTCTGAAGGACAGCCTCTTTTCCTGCAGTGATTACGAGATGTTACAGTTCCCTTTCAATCAGGATGCAACAGTTTTAATATAACTTACATAAAAACTATGGGAAGAATTTGATAATGCACCTCAGAAAAACCAACCAGCTTGTTTTGTGGCAGTCAGAAATAGCAACAGTCTTTTCTGCAATTCAAAATTCAATCATTTAAAACCTTACACAGCTCTTGTCTTCAGACTTTCCAATCAGCTCTTGTACAGGAACGAAACCTTATTATTGCAACCACTACCTTTTGTCTGTGGAGTCAAGTCATTCAAAAAAATGATTTCATGGTGGAAGAACTGCCCTAATGACAATGAATATAATTTTGAAAACTGTTTCATTGCATGAAGGACTTTTTTACATTATTTACACAAACTGATTTTTAACATGCCAGTGATTTATGAAGTACCAACCACAGAAAACACCCAGCAAATGAAAATGCTCTATGAAGATTGTGCATTTACATAGTGAGTTTACATTTGATTGGGAGTTAAATATGTATAACCACTACTCTACTGGT